TAGGTAGATAAGTACGAATGTCGCTTCTTTGCGTAACATAACTGGTCTTGTGTTAGGATCTCAAAGACTTCATGAGGCAAGCTGGGGAAGTAACCTTTGCAGACGCACACAGGCCTAAGTTAAATGAAGGGTAAGCCTCTCGCTAACGTCGCAGAAGCCGGAGGGTGGCGGTTGGCGCGTGTAGTGTTGGGGCAGGGGAGCTGGCTGCTGCCAGCAGTCGTCAGTGGCTGGATTTCGCTGCCCTTTGAAAATTCACTCTCTGGCCTTTGGGGAGGGGAAATTCTTTAATTCCTGCCGGTGTTCCGACAAGGGATGACTGCACAGAGCGGCACAAGTTGGGGTGTTTTTTTTTTTTTAATTGGGTGGGGTTTTTTTTCCCGCCTCCAGCATGTGTTTTGCACCGTCATCACAACCTGTAAGAGTGAGCGCTGTGTTTTGGTTTTTTAATGTTCTGTTTTTGTCTGTAGGGTGGTTGAATTCGCCTCTTACAGTGATTTAAAGAATGCTATTGAAAAGCTTTCTGGTAAAGAAATTAATGGAAGGAAAATCAAACTAATTGAAGGCAGCAAAAGGCACAGGTATGGATTTCTGTTCTCTTAAATATCCACTTGGAAAGCTCAGAAGTCGGCAACCAGGCAGCCGGACTGGAAACCAGTGGATTGCCCGGTTATCGTTGCGGTCCGTGACGCTCTGTTGCCAACACCGATGCTCTTTCTTCCCTCAGTAGGTCCAGGAGCAGGTCACGGTCTTGTAGCAGAAGCTCATCCAGGTCTCGTAGCCGTTCCCGTTCCCGCAGCCGCAAGTCTTACAGCAGGTCACGGAGTAGGAGCCGTAGCAAGTCTCGCTCGGTTAGTAGATCTCCAGTGCCAGAGAAGAGCCAGAAACGTGGTTCTTCCAGTAGATCAAAATCCCCGTCATCCGTGGATCGACAGAGGTCAAGGTCGAGATCGAGATCGAGATCGAGGTCCAGATCTGTTGACAGTGGCAACTGAACTATAAGTAACTTGCCCTGGGGGCCCCTTTTTTAAACCATACTTGCTAAAACTTGTGGTAAGTATGTGACTTTCTGTGGGGAAGGGTTTGGAGGGGGGAGGGGAGAGGGTGGGATGGGAGGGAGAGATGGGGGAACTTTGTAGATGTGGACCGTGGTGGGCAGGGTTCTTGACTGATTGTATTAAATGGTTTTGATAACCCTTTTCTCGCTCACATTTTTTGGTGACTGTCTGAAGTGTATCGTTGGTGTGTACCGGCAGAGCTCTTTATAACTAAAGCGGGCGGCTCGAAATTGACTTCTTTCGTTGTTTTGTTTGTTTGTTTTTTTTGTACTCCAGCAAAAGTCAGCCGAACCCTTTAATTCCCAGTGTATTCAACTGTGAGTAGCAACTCGGAGTGTTTAGTTTTAATATCTCAAACGAGCAGCTTTAGGCATCGAAGAGCTCTACGTGTGCTGTACATAAAGCTTGATTCCGGAGGGTATTTTTTTTTTTTTTCCTTTTTTCCGTGCTTTTTGAACCGTTGTTCGGGTTACAGGTCAGCAGGTTAAGTGCTGCTTGGTACTGGTGATAAAACTTCACGAGGTTTTTCATTGGGTACGACTTGCACCACGCTGAGAACATGCCCGTTTCACTGCCCTGTGGTAACAATATTCTCTAAAGCACCCGAATTCTTGATACATCAGAATCAAATGGCTCGAATAAAACATAAAGAAACGTGTCTCCGCTTCTGGTGCGTTCTTGCTGTTAACGAAGTGTTCGTGGCCCTGTCGTACGCCGTTGGACAGTGTTAAAACGTGTCTTAAAGGTGGCTCTGCGGCAGTTAGGGCTGTTTTGGGCGTGGGGGAGGACTTGCTTCCCGGTAAATATATCCCGCTGTGTCCTTGGGGGTCTGTATGTTCAGAAAGAACCTCGCTGATCGGGAGAGTGGTGCTGTCAGTTCGTCGCAGGGAGGGGGACGGCCAGGGTGTTCAGGTGTGAAGGATGGGTGGATGGAGTTGACGTAGTTCATCAGGGCGTTGGTGCCCACGTGTACGAGGGAGCACGGAGGTGTGGATAAAGGATTTTCTGTAGGTGTCAGTCCCCGTTACGGAGGAAGAGGAGGGGTTTTGCAGATTGCTCCGCGCCGATCCCTTTGTCTGGTGTAAAGTGAGCGCACAGCTAAGTCTTAGAACTGCCGGAGACCTGTGGAGCGGCTGCAGAAGGTGGAGCTTGGAGGGGGGGCGATAGCGGCTGCTGCAGAATCCGTCTGCACTGCTTCCCTGCTTTCCCACTCTTCCTGCAGGGCCTTGACCCTGCTTCCATCTCTTGGGCAGTGACCATGTCCTTGCACGTCAGTTTTGCTGCGTCTGAAAAGAAAACTGCGGTGAGGAGGGGCAGCTCTGAACCCGAGTTACGGAAAGATCGGGACAGATCGGTGTTGCTGGGCGATCTAAAGCGAAAGGCAGGAACTTGGGAGGCCTCTCAACATACTAAAGCCATTTAGTTTCCAGTCGCTTATGAATCGGAGCCTGGGGAGCCACCCTTTTCTTAGCAGTCTTGCAGGCACCCGTGTGGGTGTTTCCCATGGGAACTGCTCCCCGCCTAAGGCAGACCTGAGGATCCCAATTGAGTGGGTTTTTCCCCCTGGTAACAGTCTGCCATCGGGTGTATAGCTGTAAGGTTCGGTAACGTGCTCCTGCCTCCAAAGGACTGGAGAAGGCTGGTCTGGAAGCATCAGGGGGACAACTGGTGGAGGATCCCATTCAGCAGCGCGTTCTCCAGCCGCCTTCGCGGAGACTCAGCTGGGCTCTGGTGCTAGGGACCTGTTGGAGAAGAGTCTCCCTCTCACCCGTACCCGTGCTGCATACCTATTTTCCTTCAGCTTTGAGTCTCTTTATGTACTTCTTCAGCAAAAGAGCCGCATTGCCTCCCCTCCCCTTCTCTCTCTTCCTCTTCTTCTTCCTTCCCATTCTCTCTCTTCCCCTTCTTCTCTCTCTTCCCCTTCTTCTCTCTCTTCCCCTTCTTCTCTCTCTTCCCCTTCTTTCTTCCCCCTCTTTCTTCCCTCCTCTTCCCCTTCTTCTCTCTCTTCCCCTTCTTCTCTCTCTTCCCCTTCTTCTCTCTCTTCCCCTTCTTCTCTCTCTTCCCCCCCTTCTTCCCCTTCCCTTCCTTGCAGCGCTTGGCAGTTCTGTCCCTTTCCTCTTCCCACCACTCCAGGAGTGCCACCCTTCGGTGAACCTCAACAGCTCACAGCAAAGCGGAAGGTCGTTGCATGAGCGAGGGTCTGGCGTTCCTGTGTAATTTTATGGATGTGCGTGCGTGACTGTTCTTTGCACGCGCTCAGTGCAAATCGCAGCTGCGATTTTGCGGGATGCCCTGCCCTGGTGGAAATTCCTGATGTCTTCAGCTACCCGTGAGTTTCTGACCGTGGTTTGTATTTAAGGCCTTGGGACTGGGAACCAAGTGAAAGGGCACCCGGCTCTCCCCCTGGAAAGCGGCAGTTTGTCGGCAGTGACGTGCGGGCACGTGCGGTTTGGGCTGTAGAGCGTAAGAAATGTGGGAGCAAAGCTGTACTTGCCTTTTGGTTTCTTTATTCTGTCGCGGATCCTGAAGGTCAGGATGAGCAGAAGGCCCTCTCCAAGCTGGAACAGCAAGTAGAGCAGTGGGAAGAAGTACAGGGGGCCGATGATTTCTGGGGCGAAGGCGACCTTGAGGATAGTCGAGCAAAGCTGTACGTTCTGGCAGCCAGTTTCCACGCACACGGTCCGCCTGCATCTGGAAAAAACAGATTTAATCGACTTCTAAACAATTAAAAAAGCCTCCCTGCCTCGCTGTTCCAGCGCTTCCCGCGCTTGCCCATGCGAAGAGCCGCTTCACCAGGAGCCATACTGGTGTGGGATCACGGAATGGTTCGGGCTGGAAGGGACCTTAAAGGTCGCCTGGTTCCAACCCCCGGCATCCCCTGAAGGTTTTGCCTGGTGCTCCCTTTGCAGCGTGCGGAGACAGATCCCACGGCAAACGCGGACTTTGTGCTTGGTGGTGTTGGGAGGCACCCACTCTGGGCAAAGCACTTTCTCCCAGGGAAGGAGTCTGCTTCCAAGGGGGAAAGAGGAGTCCAAGGTACAAACTAGTGAGGACTGGTGTGCTTCCTACCTGGATTAGATAGGATGATGTTCAAGGTTTCGATCCTGAACTCCTGGGGTTTCAGCTGAATACACTGACTGGTTTGGGATAATTACCAGCTGAGGAGCAGTTTTGTCACTTGGGGTTTGGTCTCTGTTGGTATTCCCTAACCCTGCACTGTTCTTTGGTGCTGTTCATTCTCTTCTTCCCCAGCCTCGTTACTGAGAGCAGGGGCTGGCAGTGTCGGAGTAGTGGGTCACTGGGGACCTCAAGTCAAACCCGTCCACCTCCTTGTTGAGTGAACCCATGCAGTGGGCTTCCACCCTTCTGTGGTGGTCGGGTACCTGTGTCAAAAACTGCTCCAGCTGCTCCTCCCCTCTCTGTTGAGCTGAGCAGAGGATGAACTCCTTTCTCTCCCCACTCAAGGTGTGGGAGCATGGACTCGGGCCCAGCTTGCTGTGTCCGCCCGTGCTCCTGGGGCCCGTTTTGGGAGGCTACAGCCAGTGTTTGCTTTACACACGGATGTCGAAACCCGTGTTCTCACCTTGGCTCCGCAGCCCAGAGCTGTCGTATGTCTCTGGTTTTGGGTGACAGCGAGGGGAGAGGGGAGTGGAGGAACATACCGGTCATCGAGCTTGAAGGCTGCAGAGAGAACGTAGCCCAGTAGGAATCCGATAAAAGGCATCAAGGCAGAAGATCCCAGGAGGGATGGTGAGAAGACAGCCATGATACCACTTCCCACATTGGCCACAGACAGGATGATTATTGCAGCAGATGACAGCAGAAGCACAACCATCCCTGCCTAAAATAAAAGAGGTTAAGACATGGACGAGCAAAATCCCCAGCAAAATTTGCCTTGGCTGTTGGAAGCGGCTGTGCCCCGTTCCCCATCCATCATCTGAGGGTATAGTGAGAATGGATAAGTGCCTTCCGTGGGCGTTACAGGTACTGGACAAGAGACCACCCTGAGGTGTTGCCTAGGGAGACCCTAAATAATTAAGTACCTTTCTGGTCTATATGCAGAGTGACTGGTGCTTGCTCCACCGGCCACTCGTCTCTCAGGCGTCTCTGGGTGTCTCTGGCCGGGTCTAATCCACCCAGAGCAGGTGGGGAGGAAACCACGTCCCTCCCAGGTAGAGCCTCCAGCAGGTGCGGAACCTGGTGGCTGCACTTTCAGACCCTCTCGTTGGTGTCCGGTGATTCCGGCAGGTGAAGCGGCTGGAGAATTTTGGGAGGCAGAATACACAGCTTTCCCCTTTGGAGTCCAGTTCGGATGGAGCTGCCCAGCTGTTTTTTTAAAAGCAGGTCTCCACCCCTTTCTTCTTTTGTGGAGGAGATACCTGGAAAGGTGATGTCAGCTGAAAGGATGGTGACCCAAGGGCCACCTGGGAAGGTGTGTGCCACCTTGTGCTTGGCTTTTAAAGCCACTTTTGAAACGGTCCTGTGCTGGGTGAAGGAACCTCTGGAGAGCTCTGCTCTTCCTGTGTCTGTTCTAGCCTGACTCCCGGGTTCCTACGCTTCCTAGAGGACAGTGATTCCCAGTGCTGTTGTATCGGGCATGTTACTAAGTCCTGGCACACAATTCTTGCTGTGCTTGATCCCAGTCTCTCTGAGAGTGAAGTCTTAGTGAAAGAAATGACGAAAAACAGGTTTACAAAAGTTGTTGGCAGCTCTCCGGGTACTGCGGGGAACTAAAAAATGAAATATTTTAATGATTAAGGTGGTGAAGTGGAGATTTTGGAGTTCTATCCCCAACCCTTCCATTGATTTGTGGCATGCCTTAGAGGAGGTAGTGTGTCTGTGCCGTGATTTCTGAAAGCTTCCTGGAGGGCCGTGATTGAGAGGCGGCTAGCGCGAGGCACTGCTTACCTTGATGATCAAGCCAGCGTGCTGCGGTTTCTTCTCATTCAGGATGATGCCGATGGCACAGGGGATTAGCATGAGGACCAGGGAGGTGATTATTCCTTTGTAAGGCACTTTTCCCTCCAAATCGCCTTCGTACAGTCCTCCCGAGTAAAGGTACAGAAGCAGAGGCATTAGTCCGATTGCCAGGACTGTCGAGCACGCGGTCATGACAATGCTGAGGGGAAGAAAGGACGCTTCAGTACAAGAGTGACCCTTTTTTATGGAATACGCTCAGTTTTCTTACTATTGCAGACACAGGGTTTTAATAGAAGACTTCACCTTGCTCTTTCCCAACCTCCCGCGGAGGTTTCCCCGTCGCCCTCGGTGGTGTAAGGGTGTGGTATGGATAGAGAAGGGGGGAGATGACTCAAGCTCTACACGATTGGCCTGGCAAGGAGCATGTGTTCAGCTTCCTTACCTGAGGTTCATGTCCCCTCTCAGCGCCAGGCTAAAGATGTTGGAGAGGTTTCCCCCGGGGCAGCAGCCGCAGATGAGGATGGCCAGGGATTCCGTGGCGCCCAGCTGGAAGAGCTTGCCCAGCAAGAACGCTGTCAAGGGCATGACGCCATACTGAGCCACTACAGCAATTGCCACGCCTTTGGGTTTCCTGAGGTGGGTTGTGATCTTGGCGATCTCCATCGTGCACCCCAGAGATAACATGACGACGAAGAGGACCACGACAAGGACGGCGTCCAGGGCTTTGTCCATGGTCTGCCGGCCAAACGCAAGCGGTGGTGCCGCGCTGGCGCTCTGCATGAGACCCGGGCTCCAAAGCTCCAGGCTCTCGAAGGCCCCTTTAGTCTTGTTCATCCTGCTGATGGGTTGAGACGTCCCTTCTTCTGTGAAGGTGAGGAAGGGATTGATTCAGAAATCCAAATAATGTGCAGTTAATGCAAGCAAAACCCGAGCTCTGTCTCAGGCCGCCGTTCCTATTGTTCGGTAGGTGCTGAAATGGGAATCTACCTTTTGAGCAAGGAGCTGTGAGCCACGTTCCGTGCAGCAATACGCTGTGCAGGTTGTGTAGCTTCTGCTCTGGTCCCCCCTTCTCGTCCAGCACCCGCTCTCACTGTGAGAACCAGGGCAGAGTGGGTGAAAGCGGGGAGGGGGGGCGGCGGTCAAATCCGGTAAAGATGGGCACTTCATACAAGGGAAAACGAACCAGAAGAGCTCAAGCCCACAAGACACTGCTCAGGCCAGCACTTCATGGTTCATCCAGAGGGATTTATTTTTAACAAGGGTTATAAAATGCTTATGCTACTGGCCATTAATCAATTTCTTGATAGGAGGGTTAGGAAGAAACTTCCTCCGTGAAGGAGTCATTTCTCTAGCAAGATCCCTGGGACCTTCGTGTCCGTCTTCCTTCAAAAAATTGCACCCTTCATGTTGGGAGGAGGCCCTGCATGGCAGGAGCCTCAAACTGACCTCGGCAGTGCAAAGCCGTGCCTGCTGCAGCGCAGTGGTGCTGCTTGCAGCCTGCACCGCGATCCAGCCAGGGGTGCAGGTGGCACCGGGGCGCTCCGAGCGAAGGCAAATGGGCAGCTCTTACCCACCCTGGGCTGGTGCCTGCCCAGCGCCTTCAGGACAAGCACGCGGAGCTCCGGTGTGCAAGGGAATGGGAGTTGGGAGCCTGGCGCTAGGGCAGGAGGAGGGACTGGAGAGGTGTCTGGTGAAGATTGTTCTGGGGTAGCCTCTCTCTGTTCCCCCTGCTGCTCCCTGTCCCCTGGATGTACAGGGGATGTGCTTTCCCGTGTCAGAACTAGGTGATCTTTAAGGTCCCTTCCAACCCAAACCATTCTATGATTCTACAATCTGCCATGCTGGGAACAGCACGCTGCCTGCCCCATCTCCCAGTGCCGCGCTCCCTCATCCCTCTGCAGGTTTTGCCTTCATTTATGGAGCAAAACAACCTGAGCCAACCCTTAGGTCAGGCACGGGTCTCCCCAAACATACAGAGCTGAACCCATTAAACCAGAGCAAAGCGAACGCTGTTACCTTACGGTCCTACGAGAGACTTCGGTGAGGTTACTTGTTGCTCCATCCCTTCCCTGCTAAGCTTGGTCCTTCAATCCTCCTGCTTCAAGAAAATCTTGCCCTCTTGGCAAAATCTTGTCCTCTTGCTTGTAGAATATAAAGTCTGGGTCTAAAAGACCCTTTTAGGAAGGGGAGTCATTACATGATAGTTGTGTTACTGCAGTCTTTTTCTCTCGGGGGGGGGATGGGGGGGGGGGGGGGGAGGGGAGGGGGAAGGATTTTAAGCAGGGAGGTGTGCTGCTATATGGCCAAGCTCTAATCCCTTTGCTGGAGGGCATTATAATGCTGCAGTGATGTGCCCCTCGCCCCTATTCATCTGGGAGTGCAGCGGGCTCAGCCTCTCCAGCTCCATCGCTCTGGAAACGCCGCT